TAGGAGAGAGTCTGGGCGGAGCTGGGTTGGGTAAGCCTGCCCTCAGGCATCACCAATGTCATTAGCAGGGGTCAAAGTTCTGTTCTCTGCTTCCAGTAAAAGCTGTCAGGGAGGGGCTAGAATGGCCCCGGTCAGCCAGAAAGTCTGCGTGTGGGGTGAGGCTGTCTGTTACTAGCAGTCTGGTTTGGGCCTGGCTTCTTTCCACCCTCCCCAACTCCGCAGCTACTCCTAGGCCTCTGCCAGCAGGCCAGACCACATGTTACCAGGCCCCCCCTACTGTGATGCCGGTGGGGAGGTTCCCTGCACAGGAATGGCACCTGGGCTGGGCGTACGGCCTCCTTTTGGAAGGAGGGTTGCCCTCTAGGATGCTGGTCTGCCCCTGTAGGCACACACACCTCAGTAGGCTGTTCACGTATATCCCTTGTGTGCCCCCGGGCAATGCGAGACCTCAGTGCACAGGATCTGGTCTGCAGGTCTGATCTCTGGGCCCCAGAGTTCAAACTATATCCTCACCAGGGAGAGGAGTGCCAGTCTAAATTCACCCATAGGGAGCCCAAGCTGGGTCTATGTCTCTCAGCCTCAGGGTCTGCACCGTTCTCCTGGGAACACCGTGCCAGCAGCGGTGATCACCTGGGAGGGCTGGCGGGTAGGGAGCTCACAGTCTGAGTTCCCTTTAGTCAGCTGTAGGGTCCCAAAAGGGAAGTTCCCGTTCCCTGGAGGTGCCTGGCTGGTGGCTATATTGTCTCTTTGGGCAGCCGTGGGTAGGGTCGGTGGAGGGGAGAAGGAGGCAATATGGTGCCTGCCACGTGGCTCGGGTCTGGGCACACTGAGGTGCCCCGAGGGAGTTGGGAGCCTGGTGTTACGTCCACTACAGGCTCACTGCTCACTGGCCGCTGCCATCTCTGGGCTGGTGTCCGCAGGTCTCTCCACCCGCTGGGGAGGCCACCAGCAGTCCCAGATGCAGGGGAGGGGAAAGGTGACTTATCCACCTACCCTTCCCGCTGTTCTCCGGGCTGCTCCGTCGGTCTCAGCTTCCAGTTCTCCTCTGCAGCCTCCTCCCGTGGAGTCTCCCGTGGTCTCAGGTACCCCTCCTTCTGGCCTTGTCCACTGTATGCTCGTCTTCTTGCTTCTTTTTTCTAATTTCTGCTAGAATCTGTCTTTTCTGCAGAAACATTCTGTCTGGCGGTGTTTCTCGTCCACCATCTTGATCCAATCCCTCGGCCCAGTTGTTTTTATCCACGTTTTACTTGTCTTGCTGAGCGCTTATTCTCTCCCAGGCTGCATTCTTAGCCCATTCCATTTATTAGCTCAGCTCATCTTCAGCACCACCCTGTGGGTAGGTGTTGTCTAGCCCTATTTCACAGGCAGGAACATAAGGCCAGAGAAATTAATGAACAGAGTACAGAGCTGCTGCGCGTGAGAGCTGGACTCAGCCTTGGGGAGGCCAGTGTGGAGGCTGAGGCTGTGTGCTCCACATGCGCACGCCACAACCACCTCCCTTCCTCCTCAGGTGGGAAGAGGGATTTACAGACATCAGGCAAGTGGCAGAATCCACCCCAGACCCAGGTCCCAGAAGGCCCCAGAATCTTAGACACAAAAGGCCACTGTCCCAATGTGGGGGATCTGTAGGGACCCTGAAGGGCAACTCTGGAGTGGACCAGAAGCACCCCTGTGTTCTGACCCCTGTTGGAAACACTGCAAAGCCTTTGGGGTCCACAGCCCTGCCTTCGTCAGGAGAGTCGGGCAGGTGAGCACCCTGCCAAGCCTGCCAAGCTCTGTCTCGCGTGATCACATGGATGTCAGCAACCACTGTCCCCCGTCGGGGAGGCTCTGCTCCTTCTACATCAATTCCTGCTTTCAGCCAGAAAATCACAGGGACACAGAGCTATGCCAAAAGCTATTGTGAACAATTGGGTTTTGCATAGATTTGTCACAGATTTCACACAGAGCAAGTGAGTAATTCCCATCAGGGAAGGATTGGGCAGGGTGGGTGGTGAAGGGCAGGACTCCTGGCTCACCTTGAGGGGCAGGTTGGCAGCGATGGTGATGCTGGCACACAGGTGGAAGTGGCCCTGTTTGTAGTTCACCAGGAGCATGGTGGAGCCCTGGGCCTTGGCTGTCACCCTGAGGATGCTGCACTGCTCAGACCCCGGTGGCAGCCTCTCCACACAAAGAGGACCACATGGTCATCATGAACTTGCCTTTGCTGGGGAAGGCATGACAGGCTGAGTGTCCCTCTTTCATCCTGGGCTTGATATGCAATCTGATGTTTGTAAATTAAAGATTTTTAAATTCAGTATAATTCCCACAGATACAAAATTGACAATAATTTTTTCCCACATATTCAACATACCCTATATCCTGCACCCAGATCAAGAAACAGATTTTCAGCATCCTAAAATTTCCTGGGGCCCCAATCTAATGTCTGGCCTCTGCCCCAGGGAAACTACTACCCTGACTTCTACCCCCACTGCTCAATTTTGCTTCATGCTATAGTTTCTATAAAGACAATCACTGAGCATAAACTTTTCTGGATCTGGCTTCCTCAGCTCAATATGGTTCATGAGATCCCCATTTGTTGCACGTTGTATATCCTTTACCCACATTTCTATACATTATGCCGTTGTGTGAATACAGAGCAATGGATTTACCGATGCTACTGTGCACACTTCGGCTCCTTCCAGTTTGGGGCTCTGATCCACAGGGATCCTAAGAACATTTGCAAACCTCCCTTTATGGAGACACATTTAGGAATTTCCTTTTGGTGTTTCCCCAACAGTGAGACTCCTAGGCCTGGGGAGCGTGTCGTTACCACCAAATATCTTTCTCAAACTGGTTCCATCAATTGAAACTGCTACTAACAGCTGCCCTACATCCTTGCCTTTATTTTCTATCAATGTTTTAATTAAATTGTACAAACCTTATTCATTTTGATCCTCATAAAATACACATAGCAAAAAAACCTCGCCCCTTTGCACTTTTAAATGTAAGGTTCAGTGGCGTGAAGCACACGCATATCGCTGTGCGAGCATCACCAGCGTGTATCCATACAGCTCATCTCATAACCTGCAACTCTGTACCCAAGAAGCAATAACTCCCTAATTTCAATGTCCACAGCAACCACCATTCTACTTCCCGTCTCCATGAATTTGACTACTCTGGGTACCTAATATAGGTGGAATTAGACAGTATTTACCTTTTGTGTCTAGCATATTCACTCAGCATAATAATCCCAGGTTTATCCACGTAGCGTGCATCAGAATCCCGTCTTTGTAAGGCTGGATAACAGTCCACTGTATGTATTGACCATATTTCGTTCATCCGTTTATCACTGGTGAACACTTGGGTTTTTCCACTTTCAGCTATTGTGAAGAACACGGCTAGGAGCGTGGGTGGACAAATATGTCTTTGAGACTGTGTTTTCAATAAGTTTGGGCATATGCCCAGAGGTGGGATTGCTGGATCACAGAATAATCTGTTTAATTTTCTTAGGAATGACTATACTATCATCAATAGCAGTGTCACCATTGTACGTTCCATACACCAGTGCACAAGAGTTCCAATTTCTCCATATCTTTACTGACACTTATTGGTTTTTGTTTTGTTTTGTGTTTTTGATAAGGAGTCCCACTCTGTTGCCAGGGCTAGAGTGCTCTGGCATTAGCCTAGCTCACTGCAACCTCAAACTCATGAGCTCAAGCGATCTTCCTGCCTGAGCCTCCCAAGAAGCTAGGACTACATGTGCTTGGCTAATTTTATTTGTTTCCATTTTTCATTGCCTGGATAATTTTTTTTTCTATTTTTCAGTAAAGACAGGGTCTCGTTCTTGCTCAGGCTGGTCTCCAACTCCTCACCTCTAGAGATGCTCCAGCCTTGGCTTCCCAGAGTGCTAGGAATACAGGTATGAGCCACCTAACCCGGCCATGGACACTGATTTCTATTGTTGTTTGGATAGTAGCATCCTGAGGAGTGCAAAGCGGTTTCCATTGTGGTTTGTGTTACTTTGATGACTAGTTATACTGAGCATCTTTCATGAGGATGTGGCCATTTGCATGTCATCTTTGCAGAAATATGCAAGTCCATAGCCCATTTTTTATTGGGGTATGTGTTTTATTATTATCAACATGTCTACATATTCTGGATGTGACCCCCAATTAGGTGTATGCTTTGAAGATATTTTCTTTCATTCCATAGGTTGCCTTTGGCTCTTTCATGTCCTTTCATAAACAGGACTTGTAGATTTTGATGTAGTCTAGTTCACCTATTTTAATTTCTAGCCTGTGCCTTTGGGGACATATCCAAAAAATAAATGCCAAAATCACTGTCTGAAGCTTTCCTCCTGTGTTTTCTTCTAGGAGCTTTATGGTTTTAGTCCTTAACATTTAGATCTTCAATTCATCGTGAATTAATTTTTGTGTATGGTGTTATGTCAGCGTCCAACTTCATTCTCTTGCAAGTCTATGTTCAGTTGTCCCAGCACCATTTACTGAAGAGGCTGTCTTGTCCCCACTGGATGGTCCTGGCACCCTTGTCAGAAAGCATTGTCATCCATGATGGCTATTTCTGGGCTCAGTGTTCTCCATTGCTCTGCAAGTGTGTCCATGCCAGGGCCACCCTGTTTGGACTACTGGAGCTTGTAGAGTTTTGAAAACACAAAGTTTAAAGACCTCCAAATTTGTTCCATTTCAAGATTGTTTTGTTTATTTGGGGTCCTCTGAGGTTCCACATACCTGATACTTTGCTAAATTTCCTTTAGTTCTTAGAGTTCTTTTGTGGACTCTTAAGTGTTTTGTACATATGGGATCATGTGGTCTGCACACTGGTAACTTTACATCTTCCTTTTCAATTTGAGTGTGTTTTCTTTCTTTCTCTTGCCTAATTGCTATTTCAGTTGTTGGCATCACAACATTACATGTGTCTGCACTGGGAATGCAAGAACATCAACTAATCATAGGCTTTTTTGATGCATTAGTCTATTAAATTATGTACAAAACAAAAACAGTACTAGCTTTTATAACTGTCTGTGTATTTGCCTTTGACAGAGGTCTTTATTTCTTCCTAACGCTTTGAGTTCCTGTCTATTATCATTTCATTTGAAGCAGAAGGACTCCATTGCAGGCAGGACTGGTGGTACTCAGCATTTGGTTATCTAGCAATGTCTTAATTTCTCCGACATTTTTGAAGCACAGTTTGGTGGATATTGGGTTGCAGGGTTTCTTTTTTTTCCTTCACAACTTTGAATATTTCAACCCACTTACTTATGTCCTGTATATATTTTTTGTTTTTGTTCTTTGAATTTCAGCATATTATGGGGGTAACCAATGTTTAGGTTACATATATTGCCCTTGCTCTGTCCGAGTCAGAGTTCAAGCATGTCCATCCCAGAGATGGTGCCCATTGCAGCCATTAGTTCTGAATATACTCATTCCTCCTCCACCTTCCCACCTGTCCAACACTCGATGAATGTTACTAGCGTATGTGCACAAACATGTTGGTCAGTTAATGCCAATTTGATGGTGAGTATATGTGATGCTTATTTTTCCATTCTTGTGATAGTTCACTTTGTAGAATGGGCTCCAGCTCCATCCAGGATAATACAAGAGGTGCTAGATCAGCATTGATTTTTCTGGCTGAGTAGAACTCCATGGTATGCATATACCACATTTTATTAATCTGTTCATGTACTGATGGGCACTTGGGTTGTTTCCACATCTTTTCAATTGTGAATTGTGCTGCTCTAAACATTCAACTGCAGATGTCTTTTTTATAGAAGGTCTTATTTTCTGTTGGGTAGATGCCCAGTAGTGTGATTGCTGTAGAACTACTTTGAGCTCTTTGAGGTATATCTGTGTTACTTTCCACAGAGGCTGTACTAGTTTGTAGTCCCATAAGCAGCAGTGTATAAGCATTCCTATCTTTCTGTATCCATGCCAACATTTATTGTTTTGGAACTTTTTGATAAAATCCATTCTCACTGGAGTCAATTGATATCTCACTGTGGTTTTGATTTGCATTTCCTGATGATTAGAGATGTTGAGCCTTATTTCATATGTTTTTGACCATTAGTCTATATTCTTTTGAAAAGTTTCTGTTCATATCCTTTCCCCACTTATTAAAGGGGTTGCTTTTTTTTTTTTTTTTTTTTTGCTGGTTTTCCTGAGTTCTATATGCATTCCAGTTATCAGCCCTTTACCACCTGTGTGGCACAGAAATATTTCGTCTCATTGTGGATATTGTCAGTTTGCCCTGGTGACAGTTTCCTTGGCTGTGCAGAAGCTTTTTAATAGGATTGGGGCCTATTTATTTTTGTTGTCGCTGTGATTGCCTTTGGGTTCTTCTTCATTAATTCTTTACCTAGGCCAACGTCTATAAGAGTTTTTCCAACATTTTATAGTTGGAATTCTTATAGTTTCATGCCTTAGGTTTAAGTCTGTTGTCTACTGTGAGTTGATTTTTGTGAGAGGTGCGGATCCTCTTTCAGTCTTCTACATATGAATATCCAATTTTCCTAGCACCATTTATTGAATAAGGATTCTTTTCCATACTGTATGTTTTTATATGAGGATGGTTTAATATCTTGGTTCTCACTTCTGTTCCATTGGTCTATGTCTCTGTTCTTGTGCCAGTTAAATGCTGTGTTAGTTACTATAGCCATCTAGTATACCTTGAAGTCTGGTAAATTGATGCCTCCCAATTTGTTCTTTTTCCTTAAGATTGCTTTTGCTCTCTGGGGTCTTCTTTGGTTCCATATGAAGCATAGAGTTATTTTTTCTAGATCGGCAAAAAATGATGTCGGTATTTTAATAGGGATTGCATTGAATCTCTAGGTCACTTTGGGTAGTATAGACACGTTAACAATGCAGATTCTAGTGACCCATAAGCATAGTATGGTTTTCAATCTGTTCACATGCTCTGCTGTTTTCTTCCTCAGGTTTCATATTTCTTCCTGTAGAGGACTTTTATCTTGTTAAATATATTCCTAGGCATTTTATTTTCTTTGTTGATGTTGTGAAGGGCTTTGAGTCTTTGATTTGGTCCTCAATTTGACTGCTGTTGGTGTATAGGAATGCTACTGGTTCCTGTACATTGACTTTGAACCTGAGACTTTGAACCTGAGTTTATTTATCAGTTCCAGTAGTCTCATGGTAGAATCTTTGGGGTTTTCTAGATATAAGGTCATATGGTCGGCAAAGAGTGATAGTTTGACCTCTCCTGCCCCCATTTGGATGCCCTTGATTTTCTTCTCTTGTCTGATTGCTCTGGCTAGGACTTCCAGCACTATGTTGAAGTGAAGTGGTGACAGATGAAACTTTGTCTGGTTCTAGTTCTAAGCAGGAATGCTTTCAATTTTTCCTCACTCAGGATGATTTTTGGGCTTTGGGTTAGTCATATATGGCCTTTATCATTTTTAGATAGGTTCTATCTGTGCCTATTTTGTTAAGCGTTCTCATCCAAAAAGGGTGCTGAATTTTGTTGATTGCATTCTCTGTATCTATTGAGAGGATCACATGGTCTTTGGTTTTACTTCCATTTATATGGTGACCTTACATTTGTAGATTTGCATATGTTAAACCATGCTTGCATCTGTGGGATGAATCCCACTTGCTTGTGATGGGTTTTTTTTCTTTGTAATGAGCTGAATTTGATTTTCGAGGATTTATTTATTTATATATGTATTTTTTAGTTCTTTTTTTAAATTTCAGCATATTATGGGGGTACAGATTTTAAGGTTTCAATAAATGCCCATTTCCCCCCTCCCCCCACAAGTCTGAGTCTCCAGCATGACCATCCCCTAGATGGTGCACATCTCACTCATTATATATGTATATACCCGCCGCCTCCCCCATTCCACCTGCCCAATACCCTATTACTGTAGTACCTATGTGTCCACTTAGGTGATGCTCAGTCAATACCAGTTTGCTGGTGAGTATATGTGGTGCTCGTTTTTCCATTCTTGGGAAACTTCACTTACTAGTATGGGTTCCAGCTCTAAACAGGAAAATATAAGATGGGCTATATCACCGTTGTTTCTTAGAGCTGAATAGTACTCCATGGTATACATATACCACATTTTATTAATCCATTCTTGGATTGATGGGCACTTGGAGAGAGTTTAAGGTCTGTTTCCAGCGGAGTTGTTTTGTGAGAGTGAAAGGTGTGGGTCCTGTTTTTAGCCTTCTACAGGTGCTATCCAGTTTTCCAGCACCATTTTTGAAAGGGATTTTTCCCAACGTATCTTTTTTCTCTTGCCAAAGATTAAGGCTATATGAGGATGGTTTAGTATCAGAATTCTAAGCATCTGTTCGTCATATTCTATTTTGCAGATACCAGATTGATTTAATACTACAGCTTTTGTTAGTAATGTTGATATCTGGCATGTTAATGCTCTCCATTTTGTTTTGTTGCCTAGAATTGCTTTTGATATCAGGGTCTTCTTTGTTCATACGAAGCGTAAATTATTTTTTCTATATCTGTGAAGAATGCTGAGTGGATTTTAATAGGTTGCATTGAACTGTAGATCTTTTGGATAGTAATAGAATTTCAATGATGTTGAGTCTGCTGATCCACGAGCATGAATGGATTCCATCGTTCACTGTTTACATCTCCTGCATATCCT